GGCCGGACGGACCGCGGCCGGCCGGAACCGCCGGCCGGACGGTTCAACAGGTTTTCAAAAAATTTTTTAAAAATAGTTCGGGCCAAAAAAAAAAAAAAAAATTACCTTGTTGGAGAAGAATCCTTTGCCGAGGCCGTAGAAATTTTTCGACATTTTTTTGGATTTTTTTTGATGCTCGAATCGTTCGTTGAAGTTCGGAAGTTTAGAGAGATAGAAAGTTTAGAGAGATGAAATCAAAAAAAGGGTTAAGGGCAAAAGAGTAAATGGGGGGAGCGGTGACTAGTAAAAGGGGGGCGGTGAATAGCGATTGAGATTTGTAAAACTATTTGCCTTTGACGAACGTTAGAATAATTCAAACGAGATCATGCAAGCTGCATGCTATAACTCTAGAAGAGTTCGTTTGAGACGAGTAGGAAAAAATAGAACTCGATTCATAGTCATGAGTTCGTACAAGTCCACGGCGCACGGACACGCAGCAAGCTGCAGCCAGCGGAAAGTCACAACTAAACCTTAATGACCATAAGGTGCCTTTTGAAATTTTGCACTAAATAATATAAAAAAACATAACAAATCAAAACCAATTTTAATTTGTAGTCAACCGCCCCTTACAATCCCTACTTAAGAAAAGATACTTAATAAAAAAATCGTATAAATGATCTTCTCTCAGGAAATTAAACCCCAAAACTTATTTAGCCCACAACACAATTACAAAGGTACGTTTTTTGAGAATGAACTACCTCATTATGATACACAGAGAGGTACAGACACACACACACCGTCTATATGAAGCTACAATATCGTTGTTGAAATCAACACAAGACGCAAACAATGTCCAAAATTGAGACTCCAAAATTCTGCTAAAATACCGAACACATTATAAAAATCCAAAACAAGCCAGCCAATATATAGGAAAGACCCAATATAATCAATCCCTTTACTTCTTGCGATTCTTGCTTCTGCTGATCTTGACAATTTTCCGACCTGACCTGTCACCACCACCACTGCCCAACGAGAAGCTCCCTCCAGCATTAAACTCCAGACTGCCCGAAGCCTGAAAAGGGTTAGGATTCTGAGGTGTTACAGCACCACCAACTTGATTGGGCTGACCCCCGAAAACAAACGAGCTGGGCTGCCCGAAACCAAAAGCAGGGGTAGGGGTAGGAGTAGGGGCCGACTGACCAAATACAATCGGCTGCTGCTGCTGCTGCTGCTGCTGCACTGGATGATCCTCGGCCATGCTATCCATCTGATCTGCACCTCCAAATACAGCTGGCGCAGGCGTTGAGGCGGCTGCAGTGAATGAGAACGATGATGGCATATTGAAAACACTCGATGATGATGCCCCAAATGCGAATGCGTTGGAGGAACCAAAGATTGGGGATGGCTTCGGGTTTTGCCAGTTGGCAGCAAAGGGATTGCTGGAGGAGGAGGGAGCCAAACTACTATTCCCACCAAACGAGAACACATTATTAGCACTAGTAGTGGTGGGGGTAGTGGTACTCACAGGAGCCGAACCTGAAGACGAGCTGTCAGAAAAATTGACTTCAGGTGTCGATCCAACTCCGGTGCTGCTGGTTGAAGAAGAACTTGGGCCAAAAGTAAAGATGCCAGGGGTAGTACTAGTAGTTGAGCTAACTGCAGTTGCTTCCGTAGAGTTAGCGCCAAATTTGACTGTACTTGTGTCTGATGAAGATGCGGGAGGAGGAGTCAAACCAAAAGAAAAGCTCGGTTGGGAACCAGATGAGGAACTGAAAAGCGTGGTGCTGCTACTGCTCAAGTTGAATGCTGGGGCAGATGGAACTGCCTTAGTGGACGACGCGTCTTGCGAGGCAGTCCCAAATACGCTTGGGAAACTGACAGATGAACCGAATCCGAAAGAAGTGCTGCTACTTGCGGAACTAGCTGCTGCTGTAAAAGCTGCAGCAGCATTGGTAAGAGTCTCACTTTTGTTGGTTCCAGGATTTTTTGACTCTGCTGCTTGAGAGACGCTAGCAGTAGATGCTACAGGAACTGAGGTGGCTGGATCTACAGAGGCACCAAACTTGAAAACCGGGCCGCCAGCAGGAATTGAAGGTTCTGCTGCTGCAGTCAGTCCAAAAATGGAGGTGCTGCCACTGCTGGCTGAAGAGTTGAACAGGAAAGCATTACTACCCTTGAATATCTGATTTGTGTCATTAGAGACAGCTGCTGCAGTAGTAAATGACATCGCAGGAGCACTAGAACCGAGAGATGGTCCGTCTGATGCAGCAAAATGAAAGGTATCAGATTTTCCATTTATATCTCCTGCCTTCAAAAGGTTCGGAGGAGAACTTTTGTCCGACTCGGGAACTTTGTCTTGGAGTACAGTTGACGAAGCATTGACCACACTGCACACCAAGTTACTGTAGAAAAAATACACGTATACATATTAATATCCAAATAAAAATAATCTTAAAAAGAACAAAACTTGTTCCAGAAAATACACAACTGTTTCCTTTTGTCAATCAACAATTAACTCCAATTATCATAGCAGATGGCTTGCAAGATGATGTTCCAACATAACTAGTTTAACTTATTATTCATACTCTGCACGTGCCTACAATTAAAATTTAATGAGTGCTGCCTGTACTCAAAGAGGCCAAGAAAGTCCATATTTACTTCTAATTAAGTGAAAACAGCAGATACACAAATGATAGTTAGGAATTTTAAGTGTTTTCATTTTTATTTTTTAAAGACCAAAAGCAGAATAGAACTCCAGGAAACAGATGCAAAATCAAATTCCTCAAGTAGCAGCTTATGGCAAGTTGGAAGTAAGTAGAACTTTCGAGACAAACAAATTTCATATTCAGACTAATAACCTGCTGGAGACTTCAATCTTATTATCCACCTCCTTGACAACATCAGAAGGTACGGAAGCAATCTTTTCAACAACTTTAGAGCTAAAGCTGAACAATGGGACATTACTTGCATCCTTGGGCTTGTCAGATGCAGCAACAGAGGGAATAAGAAAAGCTGATTGCGAAGCTTCCTTTATTTCGTCTGTTGTTGACAAGGAAACAACAGTACTCACTTCTCCAGATGTGACATCACCAAAATTTGGTGCACTTGTGTTCCTTGAGATTAGGGGCAAAGCTGACTGGTTTTCCTCCCTCATTGAGGGCTTTACCAGCTTGGGTTCTTCAGAAGGTGTAGTCTTGCTATCTGTGAGAGTGGCCTCCGTTGGTCCTTGGTTTTCAGAGGTTGCTATTGGTACAGGTCCATTACGTTGTGTATCATCATCCTGCTCGGAGAAATCCTACCAAAATAGGTTAAAATATTAGTCGGACTACGATTACAAGACTCAACATATGATATAACTATGTACTTATTTAATTTCTCGTTGAGATTTTGTAAAATTTTATGACAAGACAGGTGGATGTGCCCTAAAGATGGCATACTAGATTTACAGTCAGTTAACTGACTGCCAGCAAGAAATGAGACCCAAACTTGCACATGTGGCCAACATCTCAACAATAAAAGGAACACAGATATAATACCATGATCGTTGACCAACTCAAGCGATAAGAAACAGAAAATCAGGCACAACAAGAGAGCACTCCCGAAAAAAAAATCACCTCTTGAGCACTCATCCTAAATGCCCTCTTCTTTTGAGGATGGGATGCACCAGTTTTTACAGTAGAACCACTTGCGCTGGTACTTGGCATAGAGGCTTTCAAGGACACCACGGAATCATTATGCAGTACTGGGTGCCACTTGTCCAATGAGTCGACATGTTCTTTAGGGCCATTTTCCTCTATTTTTTCTTTCTTTTGCATAGAAAAATCATGAGCATCAGCTAAAGTGATATTACTCTTGTCCCCCAACATATGATCATCCTGAACATCCAACAACTTTGACGAATTCACATCCTCCATACTCCTAAGAGCCTGTCCAGAAAGCATATTTGGTGTCAATGTCAAACGTGATTTCTCCTTCCGATCAACAAACTTGGACTCTGATGATTTTTCTTTTGGGGTCATCTTTTCCAAGTGCTGCAATATTTTGGAAGCAACCTCACTAGATTTGGAAGGAACACGAGGGTAATTGGAGATTGGTACACTTTCATTATCATTTTCTCCAACAGCTTTTGGTGCTTTATGGCTTTGTTCACCGATCAATTGAGACTTCTGCTTTGCATGGGAACCTATTCTTACCCCATGCGTAGTACTATGAAGTCCAGAAGCTAACAAATGTTTCTGTCTAATTCTCCTTATAGGACCCACAGAGCCAAGCTCATCATCTAAAACTGAACTCCTCCGTTTTAAGCTCTGGAACAGAACATATATGAAAATTAGAACTCGGGAGAAAAATATATAGAAACAAAATATTATTCAGTGTAGTAAAAATGTCTCAGATCCTCATATACCATCGGACGAGAGTTAATTTTTTCATCCATGTCCACTGGAGAAAGAAAAGATGAGGATGTTGATGGTCCAGGTCCAGCATAACCATTCCGATTAATTCCATTTTCCTGAAAGTAACCAAATGAGTATAAAAGTTTATGAGAAAGAGAAAAGCCACATTAAAGATACAATTAACATGAATGAACCTTGAGACTGGAAGTTAGATGAAATTTGGAGTATGGTGTACGAGCCATGTTGTAGATAGCTGATCTGCCGCGTGATCTAGGGGTTATGAAGCCATTGTCTGTAGCAGCCATGCTGCCATGGGTCTTCATAGTCGATGCCATGATAGGTAACCCGGAGGCAGATGGCAAGCTACTAAGCAACTCGGTATCTCCCTTACCAACTCGATTGCGTATTCCTAGCACTGATGGCGATACCTTTGAAGGCCTACTTCCCATATAAGCTTTTGCAAGTTCAGTAGGAGAAGCATTACCATCCTCGACAACCTGGAAGCATTTTAAATAAGTCATTCTGGGAGACTGGCAGTATGAAGACCACAAGGAAACAATTGACCGATAATAGTGAGAGAGGATGCATGTGCAACAAAACTTACTTTTGAGTTGAAAATAGGAGTAGTCATTAAAGTGGAGGATCTATTCCTCCCATTTCTGTTCTCTTCCAAGAGCCCACTCGCAAATTGGTGATCTCTTGCGTAATCTGAAGCAGTATCTTCCTTTTTTTGGCCAACATCCGCAGGAGATACTTCTGCAGCTCTTGATTGCAGTAGTTCTCTCAAATGAACAATTTCAGACCTGCACCCACAAATTTCCTATTAATAATCAACCTTCCCAAAGAAAAACATATTTTAACGTATACAGCATGTCTAAGGACTTGAAGCAAAGAGTCAAATACCACACAGGAAAAAAATCATTCTTAAAAAATAAATGAAATATTCTGCAGAAGAAAAAAAGTTAATCCTACAGTATACTGCATACATAAAAAAATCTTGGGTGATACCTGTTAAGACTAAGATATAAGAATTGAATACTTAAAAGTCAAGATAAACATACTAGACATTAACAAAAATGTATTTCAAACTAACCAAAAGAAAATCGAATGGTTAATCACAAATAACAGTTTTTTATTATAAAAATTCCAACTTAATGACAGTACTTTCAAAAGAAAAACAAAAAAATCACCAATGACAGGGAAGGAAAATTAAAAGAATAGTAATATCCACTGCATGGGGAAAAACAGAATAACTTGAGCAGATGGGATGAAGACTTATAGTTCAACCCTCCCAAATTCCTTATTAAACCTTACCTGGTAAAGGTTCTTTGCTTCAATAATTGCTCAAGCTCAGAGATGTCATTGCTGCTAGAACTATTGATTGGCTGACTGCAATCACCACCTACGGGCTCATGGGGACCATCATGACCCTACGAGCAAAAGGTTATTAAATGTTTTACTCTAGCAATGCAAAATAACATGTTCTCTGTATAGGAGGAATATACTGATACCAGAAATATTGACAACAGCTACCGAGGCTACTACCTGTGCAACTACAATAGAAGTCCTAAAGGAAGAACCTAACAACATTGACATGTCCAATCAACAATATAAAACTCTCTTAAGAGATCTACCAATGATAATCAGATGGGAGTCAAATTAAAAGACATAAATGTGGAGCTCTGGTGACATATTTCTAACAGAACTAGATCGTCAATGATAAATATTTTTGAGTAACAATTGAAGTTCCCTAACACCATCTCCAACTAGATCGTCACCACTCTCCTATGTTGAATTTACCCAAAAATCCTAACTAATGCATGTTAGACATTCAAGCAGTTTAATTCAAACATAGAAAGAAACATTTACTATTTAGATACTACCGAGTAACTTCTAAACTAAGTTTCCAGAATCTCAGGACACCAAATTACCTGCCAAATTGTGTAAGACGAATAAAGTAAAATTATTTGATCAAGCATTTTTACGAAGAAATTTATAAACCCTAATACATCAATAAGATTAGGAGTGGAGACAACATGAAAGGAAACAAAAATATCATTTGAAGTCTTAGAAGTATCTTAGCATGCACCATAAATCTCAACATATTGTTTAATAAATAAACACTTCAAAGTATTTGCACGTGATGCAACGTATTCACTGCCTAGAGTTACTAACTTCAATTGAAAGTATCAAAATGGTTCACTTGACCTGCACAATCACATACATGAAACTAGTCACTAAAAACCCCCACCACTGGAAAAGAATACATACATGATTGTTTTCCATTACAATAGTAACAACTGTCCAAAACTTTATACTGAAGTTACAAGTTCTACATAAAGCAAAAGTGGCATAGAGTATTAAAATAGGACAGCATGTTCTTTCGGATCACCCTTAGTTTTCACCAAAACATACAAAAATAATAAATAAATAAATAAGTAAACCCCTATATAACCAGTATAATACAAAGGTCAACAACATACTGGATAAAAATAGAAAAGATCTAAGAACGTGAAAAAGCATACGATCAAACTTACATCAAGAGCTGGCCCTTGAATCCCATCACTAACATCAGCTTTTTCCTCTGTTACAACAACAGATGATGTCAAAAGATATTCCACAAAGAAATTCATGTACATTGTGCACTACAAAACAATAGCAATTTTGAAATTGTCAACCTAGCAGACTCATACTAACAAGTACTACTGTGCAACAAGAGTTAAACAATCACGGAATGGCTAAGTAACATGCTACAAAGCCCTTTTAAAAAGATCAATTTGTGCATAGTTTCAGACCTAATCACTCTTACTTAAAAGTTTTCGATATTGAACAAGTGATTAGAAAAGCAGAAGATCCTCAAGATCGAGGCAGATCTAGCAAATATCTGGTATTTAATCCATTGTAAATAGTCAAAACCAAGCATTACAATTAGAAATAAAACCTTAACATACAAAATGGTTGTAATTTCAATGAATCAGTAGGGAGCTTCAAAATCAAATTAATCAAAGATGTAAATTCTATGTTCTTAAAATATTTCTCCTTGCAAAAACAATCAGAATTACACAAATCAAAACCTTTCAATTTTTTTCCCTGACAAATGGACATTCAGATTCACCAATTACCCTAATCAGATTGAAAGTTCAGAAAAGATAACATTTTCAAAAAATTCATAAACGAAAAAAAAAAACCAAGGTAGCTCAAAGAGAAACACAAGGTAAGACCAACCCTGCATAATTAAAGCAGAACGAGCAACAGACAAAAAACCCTTTCTGAATTTTGAATTACAAAATACATATATAACCTGGCGGCTGAGGAGGCGGAGGCGGGGGGAGGCGCTTGCGAAGAAGTGGGGCGAAAAAGCGCTCTGCTCCATAAGATATGAGCTTCGAGGCGGGCTCCACAACCAGCTTTTTTAACCAGCTACTATTGTTGTCATTGTTTCCTCGGAGCGCAGTGGGTGGACGATCGTACGGTGTCGTCGGCCTGCGAAAAGGCTTCTTCCGAAACTTTCCTCCTGCTCCTCCTCCACCGTAGGGCGACGAGGTTGGATGGACAGTGGCTCCGCCTTCTTCCGCCGTCGCCATTTGTTTGATTTTGAAAGTTTCGCGTCGTAGGGAGGGAGAGAAAGTGAAGGTATCAGGGGCAGACAAATTAGGGTTTTTATTTTGGGTTTCGCGTAGAGAAAATAATAGCATCAAGGATACTATATATTGGTATTTTATAAATTAGAATTAAAACTACGAATATTGGAAAATTTCGCGTAGAGAAAAATATAGCACCAAGGATACTGTTGATATTATATAATTTAAAATTAAAACTACGAATATCGTAGTTTTCAATATCTAACGTTTAAGCATACTATGTTGGTATTATGATTTAAAATTAAAACTACGAATATCGTATTTTCCAATGTCTAACGTTTAATTATATATTCTTATTCGATGAAATAAGTTTTACATACCATCAAATAATAAATTAACGTTCACCCTATAAAGTCCGAAAAAAAATTATACAAAAAGTTATGCCACATATAGACGAAATAATTGATAAAGTACGAAACAATTATACGATAAACTATGTGATAAACTATGTGACATATATAAGGTAATTGATAAATGCAAAATAGTTATGCCATGTGACATATATAAGGTAATTGATAAATGCAAAATAGTTATGCCATAGATTATTTATACGACAAACACGCGATAATTGACATACAGGAGATTATTGATAAAGTGCAAAATAGTTATACGATTATGTGATAAATTATACAATAAATACGCGAAGATAATTGATAAAGTGTGAAACAATTATGCAATAAATTATGCGACACACTCAAAAATAATTGATAAAATACGAAAAAGTTATACGATAAACTATGCGACAAACAGCCGAACATAATTGATAAAATGCAAAATAAGTTGTCATGGCGGCGATGGCCGGAGAAGAGGCCGTGGAAACGGAAAAAGCGCAGACCGTCGAGGGAGAAGAAAGGACGGGTTTTGAGAATGAAATTACAAAGGGAAATTAAATTAAGGATTGTTGATTTTCCTATTTTTAAGTAGCAGCATTTTATTATTAGTGGGCCAAGTGTTTTGGGTTTATTTTATTATTAGAGGATGAAATTAGCTGGAAGTTGGGTTTATGTTGTTAGCAATGCCCAAATGAATGATGTATTTAAGCAACACGTGGTGAGGAAAATGGGTATCAATCAGTTATCAAAATATTCTTTATCTCTCCTCATGTCACTTTCTCTCTTTTTCTCTCTCTACCTGTCTCTTCTTCCCCAAGTTCCCTTTACAGTAAATCTCCATTAATTCCATACAATTACAGTAAATTAAACATACACGAATTACAACAAATTACAACAATTGGTATCATCGGAGTCCAGCAATCCTCGCGATGGCCGAGAACACGCGCCTCAAAGACCTGCAGGAACAGCAAAAGAAATTGGATCAATTTGTCCATACAGAAGTTCTCAAGAGAGAATCCAGTGAGCTAAAATTACAGGAGAAAATGGCCGGGCTCAACTCGGATTTGCAGAATAAAATTACGGGTCTATCTTCTGAGCTGAAGGATAGGATGGGAAGCTTAGATGGTAAGTATGACAATATGGCAAATGTGCTAGCCTCTATTCAGCTGCAATTGATGAATCTGAACAAGGGAAAAACCACTGAAGAGGAGGAATCCATTTTGGGTCCCCATTTTCAGCACACACCTAGGCAAGGGCCATTCTCTAAAACTCAGCACCCCTTCAAACCACTGCAGTTGGAACACCAGACCCATTTCATTAATCCCATGCCTAAATTGGATTTTCCCAGATTTGATGGTACTAACCCAAGAAATTGGATACTCAAGTGCAATGGCTATTTTAAGATTATTCCAAATATCCCTGACTCCTAAAAAATCATCATGGCATCAATGCACTTTGATGGCAGAGCAGCTCATTGGTACCAGAATTTTTGTACCAAGTATGAGGGGTGCAATTGGTCACAGTTCCTAGAAATTGTGTCCTCCAGGTTTGAGGAGATCAAAGAGGCTAAAATTATTGGGGAATTTAACAAGCTGAAACATTCTGGTTCCTATGAGGATTATGTAGAAAAATTTGAAGAACTTAAATCCTGCATGTTGTTATTCAATACAGGTGAATTCACAGAGGACTACTTCATTGCTAGTTTTCTGAGTGGATTGAGTGAGGAATCCCAAGCTTTCATCAACATGTTTGAGCCAAAATCTCTGCAGGAAACTATTGATTTGGGAAGGAAACAGCTGTGTACTATAGAGGCCATCACTAACAGGGTGAAAAATCATTACAAACCTCAAAGCCCACACACCACTTACTACAGGAAACCTGATGGCAATACCAACTACAGAGGCCAGATTCCAAATACACAGTTTAAACCCCCCATTAAATTGCTTACAACCCATGAAATGGCTGCCAGAAGAGAAAAAGGGTTGTGCTACAATTGTGATGAATCCTATGTCCCTGGTCACAGATGCAAAGCAAGAATCACATACATGATTATGTCAGAAGAAGAAGAATTATCCTACTTAGGTCATGAAAGGGAAGACACTGAACCAGAAATTCCCTCTGACATTGAAGAGATTCAAATGTCCCTAAATGCCTTGGCAGGAGAACAAGGGCTGACTACTATGAGACTTCTGGGAGAGTGTGATGGACAGAAGCTGCACATCCTAATTGATTCTGGTAGTACTCTTAGCTTCATTCAAGAAAGTACTGCCAAGAAATTAGGGTGCCCCTTACAAAAGGCCAAACCCATCATGGTCAGGGTGGCTAATGGGCACAAGATGGTGAGCACACAGAAGGCAAAAGGTTTCCAGTGGAAAATGCAGGGTCACGAATTTACCTACCCACTCAGACTACTACAAAATGAAGGCTGTGACCTCATACTTGGTGGTGATTAGTTGAAGTCCTGTACTCCAATAGAGCTTGACTATAACAAAATGACTTTTACTGTCACATTACAGGGCAAGAGGGTCAAACTACAAGCATTGACCACTGCTTCAGATTGCAAATTCATTTCTGGGGATGCCTTGTATAAGCTGGTTCATCAAGAAGGAAATCAAGTAGAAGAACTATACCTGCTAACTACTGAGGTGGATGATCCTAAGCTGCACCCTCTCCTTGAGGGCTTACTAAAAAGGTACAATGTGGTTCTTCAAGAACCCACAGGGTTGCCACCTGCGAGGACTGTTGAGCACCAAATAATCCTGAAAGAAGGAAGTGTGCCTAAACACCAATATCCCTACAGGGCATCACATGCCCAGAAAGATGAGATTGAAAAGATAGTACAGGAGATGCTGGAAATGGGCATTATTCAGAACAGCCACAGCCCCTTTGCATCCCCTGTTATATTGGTCAAAAAGAAAGATAACACATGGAGAATGTGTGTTGACTATAGGTATCTCAATGACCTTACCATAAAACATGACTACCCTATCCCAGTGATAGATGAGCTGCTAGATGAACTTCATGGGGCAAGATACTTTTCCAAAATAGACCTACGGTCAGGGTATTTTCAGATCCTAATGAAACCCTCCCACAGACAATACACAGCTTTTTCTACCCATAATGGCCACTATGAATACCTGGTTATGCCTTTTGGTCTGTGCAATGCCCCAGCTACCTTTCAGTCATTGATGAACCAAGTATTCAGACCTTACCTGAGGAAGTTTGTTCTGGTTTTCTTTGATGATATTTTGGTCTACAGTACAGGTTGGGAAGAGCACCTTAGCCACCTAGAGACTGTTTTGATGACATTAAGGGACAATCAATTGTATGCTAAGATGTCTAAGTGTCAGTTTGGGCAGATTGAAGTAGAGTACCTTGGCCACATCATATCACACCAAGGTGTGGCTACTGATCCAGCTAAAGTGGCTAGCATGTTAAGCTGGCCTACTCCCTGCAGCTTCAAGCAATTAAGGGGTTTCCTAGGCCTCACTGGGTACTATAGAAGGTTTATTAAAGGCTATGGGGTTATTAGTAAACCAATGACTAATTTACTAAGAGCTGACAAGTTCAGTTGGACTGAGGAAGCTGAAGAAGCCTTCCAAGCTCTAAAAAAGGCTATGGTCACAGCCCCTGTACTAGCCATGCCAGACTTCTCCCAGCCACTAATTTTGGAGACAGATGCTAGTGGCAAGGGAATTGGGGCAGTGCTTATGCAAGAAGGAAGGCCAATTGCTTTTATGAGCAAAGGATTGTGTCCTAAAAATCAAGCACTCTCAATTTATGAAAGGGAGTTCCTAGCTGTTCTAATGGCAGTGCAAAAATGGAGAGGTTACCTGTTAGGTCATAAATTCATCATCAAAACTGACCAACAAGCATTGAGATATTTACTAGACCAGAAGGCAATGAACCCTATGCAGCAAAAGTGGCTTACCAAATTGTTGGGGTTGGACTATGAAATTCATTATAAAAAGGGGGTAGATAATAAAGTTGCAGATGCATTGTCTAGAAGAGGACAAGAAGAAGCTGACTGCATGGCAATTACAACCCTTACACCCCAGTGGGTTGGCAAAGTGATAGACAGCTATGCAGCGGACCCCTATTGTCAAAAGATCTTGCAAGCTCATGCCATGAAAGATCCTACCTACTCTGATTTCCAGGTCTCAGGTGGACTGATAAGATTCAAGGGCAGACTTATGGTGGGCTCGGACACTGATTTAAGACAGACCATACTCAGCACAATACATGACTCTTCTTATGGGGGTCACTCAGGGGTAAATGGTACATATATGAGGATGAAAAGTAGTTTTTTCTGGCCACTCATGAAAAAAGATGTTATTGCTTGGGTAAGTGCCTGTGAAGTTTGCAAGAAGAGTAAACCGGAGAATGGGCCTTATCCAGGGCTGTTACAACCCTTGCCTATACCTGAGCAGGCATGGACACATGTGTCCATGGATTTCATCGAGGGCTTGCCCAAGTCTGCTGGCAAAAATGTCATTCTTGTGGTGGTGGACAGGTTTACCAAGTATTCTCACTTCATTCCTTTGTCCCATCCCTTCACAGCACAAGATGTGGCTAAAGTGTTCCTAGACACTATCTATAAGTTGCATGGGTTGCCAATCAGTATTCTGACTGATAGGGACAAGATCTTCACAAGCTTGTTTTGGAAAGAGTTATTCAAAGGTCTGGGGGTCAATCTTAATCTATCTTCTGCTTACCACCCTCAATCTGATGGACAGACTGAGAGGGTAAATCAGTGTTTAGAATCTTATCTGAGGTGCATGACACATGAAAATCCTAGGAAGTGGGGACAATGGCTCAGTCTAGCTGAACATTGGTACAACACCAATTTTCATACAAGCTTAAAATTGACCCCTTTTCAGGCATTATATGGATATCCACCCCCAAATTTTCTTATGGGGCCATTCTTAGATGTCAACAATGCAGATGCACAAGAAGTTCTCCAGAAAAGGCAAGCAATCACACAGCAATTAAAGGAAAATTTGAAACAAGCCCAACACAGGATGAAATATTATGCGGATCAACACAGAAAAGAAAGAACCCTAGCTGTGGGTGATGAAGTGTTCCTCAAACTACAGCCTTTCAGACAGAACTCCATTTCACTCAGAAAAAATCTCAAGTTATCAGCACGATATTATGGTCCTTTTAAAGTTTTGGAAAAAATAGGATCGGTGGCATACAAGTTGGAATTACCGGCGGATTCTAAGATCCACCCAGTTTTCCATGTCTCACTTCTAAAGAAAAGGGTTGAGCTCGGGCACTTACCTTCTGCAGAGCTGCCGCAAATTGATGTTGATGGGCACTTCAAGATCCAACCTTTGCATATCATGGACCACCGCATTGTTCGTCGGGCAGGCCGGGACACTCCTCAGATCCTTGTGCAGTGGACCAACGCAGATCTATCCAAGCCAAATTGGGAAGATGAAAGCTTTATACGCCAAAAGTTCCCTCTTTTCGGCCCTTGGGGACAAGTGCCGAGCTCGCCGGGGGGTATTGTCATGGCGGCGATGGCCGGAGAAGAGGCCGTGGAAACGGAAAAAGCGCAGACCGTCGAGGGAGAAGAAAGGACGGGTTTTGAGAATGAAATTACAAAGGGAAATTAAATTAAAGATTGTTGATTTTCCTATTTTTAAGTAGCAGCATTTTATTATTAGTGGGCCAAGTGTTTTGGGTTTATTTTATTATTAGAGGATGAAATTAGCTGGAAGTTGGGTTTATGTTGTTAGCAATGCCCAAATGAATGATGTATTTAAGCAACACGTGGTGAGGAAAATGGGTATCAATCAGTTATCAAAATATTCTTTATCTCTCCTCATGTCACTTTCTCTCTTTTTCTCTCTCTACCTGTCTCTTCTTCCCCAAGTTCCCTTTACAGTAAATCTCCATTAATTCCATACAATTACAGTAAATTAAACATACACGAATTACAACAAATTACAACATAAGTATGCGATACTACACGAATAAAGTGCGAAACAATTATGCTATAAAACTATGCGACATAAATGCGAAGATAATTGATTCGAAAAGATATGTGACAGACCGAATACAATTGATAAAGTGCGAAATAGTTCTGCGCTAAACTATGAGACAGACAAGCAAAGATAATTGATAAAGCGCAAAAATATTATGTGATAAACTATGCAAGAGCAAGGCGAAGATAATTTATAAAGCGCAAAATATTTATACGATATGATATGGAACACACAAGCAAAGTTCATTGAGTAAAGTGCTAAACAAATTATGTGATAAAGCATACAACAAACATACGAAGTTAATTGAGCTAGTACGACATCAACTATGCGATAGACAGATTAAGATTATTGAGCAAGTGCGAAACAAATTATGCGATAACGTATGCAATAAACATGCAAAGTTAATTGAGATAGTACGAATTACTTATGCGACCAACTATGCGACAGACATGTGAATTTCATTAAGCAACTGTGAATCAAATTATGCAGTAAAATATGCAACAGACAAGCGAAATTATTACTTAAACGATCAATTATGCGACACACATACAAACATAATCGTGTAATTGAAATCTCATTATGCCAGAATTTACAGCAGATATAGAGCCGAGGAAGAAGATGAAGGCCAACTTTTTTGTATTTTTTTCATTTGTAGATAGAAAGGGATAATGGTGTAATAAAACAAAATAATCCCAATGTTATCAATTTTTCCCATGGGACATTAATCCGAATCCGAATTCCAACAATATATACCTAACAAATATTTGAATTAATAATCCAAGCATTAATCCCATCGCGATCCCGAAAAATAATAAAATCCCATCCCCAAAAACAAACGAGCACTAAGCAGTACTCTCTCCAGTTCATTCTATATATCGTTTTGAGAAGTTGCACAGTAATTAAAAATTGCCAATAATAACCCTCTTTAATGAAAATAGAGATGAATGTATTGGGAAAAAAATGAAGAGTAAATATGAAAAAGCGTAGTGTATTTATTAGCTAAATGAGAGTACTAATGGAAAAATATATACAAAAGATCCAAAACGTCATTTATTTGGTTAATAGTTGATAAAACCAAATGACACTAAAAAAAAATCGAGGGAGTATAGAAAAGCAATAATGTTCTTTGAGTTTCTAAATAAAATCGAGCAAATCTACTTTTGAAAATCAACTCCAATGCAAATCTACTTTTGAAATTAAAAAAAAAAAATATAGAAAAAATGGGAGCAATGAGTGTTCAAATTCTTCAAAAGTTTAATACTGCCGATGCAGCTATCATGCTTGGTGTATGGAGAGCAAGTATAGATTCACTCTGGTTCAAGTTGTCACTTAATCTTCTCTGAGGATGAAGCAAATTTAGAAACTTTTCGGCCGTAGAAAGCTGTTTATGGCGAAGGCTCTCGTCATGCATCAACTCCCTGCAACACAACAATCCCTTGGCATTATTATTGTATAGTAATTATTTTATCTTCCAAAGATGATTTTGTTTGCATTTAAGGATATAAGTAAACGGATACACTACTATTATAGAGTAAAAAGGGAGTTACACGAGAAGTAATGCTAATCGTGAAGGAGTGCATGCTCCAAGAAGAGCTTCAGGGATTATGGGCAAATCCAAGATGATATTGGGAAGTGAGATATAAGGTATTTTAGCTTTATAACGAATGAACCATTCAGTTAGGATATGGGCTCGATACGCAACAACACAAGGTAACCGAGCAAGCTGCAGCTCCACTGCAACAGTCCCTGACGCGCACAATGCTACTCTACTAGCCTGCATCACATTCATGTTTACTTACAATTAACATTATTACTCAACTGAATTATATAAAACAACTATTGTTTAAGTTAAGTGTAGTTTACCTTTATATATAGTAAATAAAAAACAAAAGAAACCAAAGAAATCAACATGAATCCACATTCCACTGATGGAATAATGCATATTCATAAAATTGATCAATTTCTGAAATTCACAGAGAATAATTATGCTTCTGAGGATACAAACAGCTGCAGGCCAAGTTGCACTCATATGATCCTGGTGACTTGATGAAAACAATAGCAAAATCCTCGTCGATGGCGACTGATATTAAAGATTGAGATTACCTACTAAAATGGGTAAGGGAGTTAAATATAAGTCCTAGAACAATCATTTACAGAAAGTCTCTGTTCAATTGTGTGGGTTCAGCTATATAAATCAGTAGTATATAAATAGCAGATTCATTCAGTTCACAACAACCAGACAAAAGCAAGGACATAATTGGATAATCATTGGTGTCTACTGGTCCACACATACAATAAATATTCCAAAAACTAAGCCATCTACTCATTAATTTACAGTGAAGGACAAATGAGGATGATAAGATCAGCGCCAGGCAGAAAATTTTGGACCATTAAACAAAACTGAAAGCGTCCAGTTACAATCCGAAAGGCATATTTATTCTATCATTCCAAACTTTTATAAAACACACATTTTCCTTGCATGAAGTAAGTTATATATTCATCTATCTGAAGCATGTGGACCTTACACTGAAAGAATCGTACTTCATGCATGGCGATCCACCTGGAACCAATATGGCTGGTACAGGCCACTGACGAACTGCACTACTGATGTATTCTTCTACATGCTTGTTAGGTGCCACATGGATAACGGCTGTCAACTTAGAGAAGGTATGTTTGAGCAGCACCATAGTTTGTGAGAATATAGGGAACATGCGGGTGACCTCTTGCAATCGGCTTCCAGGAAGCACAGATATGATAGTTGATTCTTAATATACAGAAATCCATAATTAATACAGTATGAAATGCTGACTGAAAATACAGAACACAGTCTAATGGCAACGTGGTCGAAAAATAATGATGTTATACAGTCCCATAGAAGGGGATAAAAAATCATACAGAAACCAGAAAATGGACCGCGGTGTTCTCTTTACCACTCTCTGTGCCAATATACTCAACAAGGACAACTTGTGTTGTATTTGACTTTAACTTGTATGATCTGTGTCTGTCTCAATCCTATCCCTCGCCCCATAACTATTCTTGTCAAATGTCTCAACTTTAACTTGATCCGTTTAGTATTCTTGTTTACTAAACAAATCGATTCAAATGTATAGCACAATGAGATGAGATGGGTTGATTTTGTCATTGGCCAATGGTCATTTCAGGTCAACTGTAATGCAATCTGTTGGTTAACGGAATTTTTCAGGTCCGAATAAATTTTGACCCTAACCCACTGAGCCTCAACCTAACTCACACAGAACATTTTAGGTTCATGATGCCAAATGTATGACCATTACGAACAGGTAAAAAATGACCAGTGGACCACATATACACACACAATAGAAAAACACCAAATCAAGATCTGAAGTTTTTTACATCCTACCTGGTGATATCCCATAAGTCCTCCGAAATTTCTTCCCATCACCTTGAACTCTCAATTCCCCGTCCACATATTTCTCACTCTGCAAATTAAATCCCTCACAAAAATCACACATGTGAGCTACGGTTAATGCCACCTCTTTTGTAATTAGAGTTTACATTTATCCAAAAACAGCATTTCATAATAAATAAAATGAGCGAGTTCTCATTTTTAGGAAAAAGGGCCTTACTTGGGGTGTTTACAGAAGGAGAAAAAGGAATGAAGAAAACAAAGAAATTGAATAAATAAAGAAAGGAACAAAAACTTTGGGCTGGAGGGAGCAGCAAACACCAGAACAAATTTTACTTCCAATTCGTTCATCGTGTATTGTACCATAAGAGGATAGAGATGTTCGTAAGAATTAGCCTAAAGACTGTAAACCTTATATTCGAGCACACCTTTAGCTCCAAGGCATCTTCCAATGTTGGATGGCCGACAAATGTTGCATCCAATCCCTTTGAACGACAGACTTCAGCCTCAAATGGTAGGATACAGAAAACATGATCCACAAACTCTGAGAGCCTTTGAAGTCTTGATTCCCCTCCTCTCCATGCCCAGAAAGACGGAGCTACGTAGTGAAAATGTTGCGGACAAGCTAGTCTCTGCAGACCATGTCGTTCTGCAAAAAAGTATTTTCCTATGTTTCTACACCATGTTTTTCTTTTTCTTCTCTTTGAATAAGAAAAATTGACATGTACTTCAGAAACTAGGAGCCACAAAATGGAGAACTACCTCGCAATTGTTTCAGAAAGCGAAAAGCAAAACCTTTCGAGTCCACTGTTAGAACAACATGTGGATGGAAACCAAGAGCTGCCTCAACTGTCTCTTGCAATTTGACCTGAATTTTTGAATGTTAAAGTTCAGACTAAATCAGTCGAAAATCACTAACCAGAACGAAACACAAACAGAAGTTTCGTTCGATATGTGAAGTGAAAATATACAACTCATTGCTCACCCTGAACGTACTAAGGTGTGGTAACAACTCCCAGATCCCCATTACTGCAATATCTTCCATAGGAAACAAAGAATTTAATCCGTGTCGTGACATATTTAACCTAGCAAAATGATAAGAAACATAGGTATGATGAGCTTGTAATTCTCCTATCTAATATATGTATTACACATGGTACAACTCATAATGACGGTCAAAGAGATACTTCTGTATATGTGAATATTGAGTTACACAGATTCAGATTCATTACTAATCTAATCCTATATTACATGTTTTAGCTATCACTGCTATAGAAAATATATACTTCACCTTCAATTTAAAAAAAATCACAATATCATTCGATAGAATATTATAAGATAATTAAACAACTTGAAAACTCGTTGGCATATATAGTAGAAGATAGAACAAACAAAATAACAGTCAACATCACGAAGTAGCCAATAAAATACCAAAACTTGACCATTCTTACCCTCCCACACCTGCAAAGCGAACAGGAAAAGGAGAAAGCTTATTCAAAGAGTTCATAAAACGCGAGGCAATAATATCACCAGAAACCTCCCCTGCAACGATAAAGACTCTAAGCTCCCCATCGTTGGAAGCCAAACCTCTCACAGAATCTCTGCTGGAAACTGATATTGACCTTTTCACAAGCTGCAAGAAGCTCCTATTCATGCCAATCTCCACACTCCGCACACTTGTTGAAAACATACTCTCCTCCGCATCAGAATATCAAGGCCAAAGGAATAAATCAGTTTGACATACTTACCTAAAAATATGTTTCATTTATAGCTTGTTTGGTTCGGGGAGGGAAGGGAATTTTTCACCTGGTTCGACTTTTCGTGAGGGAGGGGGAGGAACTTTTTTGACCAATCTCTCTTCCAACAGGCAAAATGCCTCCCGAGGGGAAGAAAAATTTACCGAGTGCCGGCGGGAGGATGAGGCAGTGGCGGAAAAGATAATCACAGTAGCGGCAGATATGGTGGAGCGGGGAACTAAGAGAGAGAAAGGGCGGCGGAGAAGACAAGGGGAAAGCGCCGTGGCGGAGGTTGAGTGATAGTCCAATAAACTCGTCAGCCTAACTTTGTCTTCATAAATTCTACCCCTTTATGCTTTATCTTATAATTATTACACCACTCCTATATATTTCAAGGACTTCTTTGCGAGACAAAAATTATAAAAATGTTTGTGTTATAAAGACAATGAAATTTGATTGCTATAAAAATAATTTTGAATATTGTTATTATTTTTTTTTTTTATTTTATGATATATAATAATTTAATGTATGATATATATAATTATTTTACTCGTTATAAAATAATTATCATTTTTAGAATTCCTGTTTATAATTAAGAATAATAAACATTTAATATATATATTTTTGCCGAAACGATAGGGATATTATATAACAAAAACCGCAAACGTGCGAAAGGAGAGCAGCCAATAGCTGAATGTACAACCAAGGCCCAAAAATTTGGTGAGCGGATTCGGAGATCGCCTAGAACCTGCTAATAACGCCAGAAAAACAAACTCGCAACTACACTAAAAAACCAGTGAAACACAACTAAACAACAATAAAAAAGATCCTAAAGGGATAATACCCGAGTGTACGATCCCGATAGGATAATAAGATAACACCCGGGAAAATCGGGGCCAACAGTCCAAACCAACACACAAACAAACACAAACACAAACAACGACAGCACACCAACAATAACAACACAAATTAAACAAAACGAACAGAGTCCTTCCCCAGTGAACGAAAAATTTAATATATTTAAATATTATCAATAAATATTGCTATAGAATATTTTCCCCCTCTCTCTCCCTCTCTCTCTTCCATACTCATATCTTATTAGAATATATTATGTCTAAATAAGTTATGTGAAAGTTGAAATTTTGTCAAATATTATAAACAACACTTAATTGAAAAAGACTGTAATATATATTATTTTGAAATTAAAAAATTATTATTTATTTTCATTACGTCAATATTATTTTATTTTTTCTTATAACTTATAATAATGTATATTATCGATATTTTAATTTTCCTTTCTAATCTATTAATTATATGAAATTTTTAATGATATTGTGAATCACAATATGAATTTTTAAAAAACTGGTTCGGTGTAGTTATTCATAAAATCAAATGATATTTTTGAACTCCTTGAATATATAATTTGTGGTATATGACTCGTTACCAATTTTAAGAGAGATTTATTATTGATGTTGAGATATCAATAAGCCTAGTTATTTATCTTTGGAGAGAATATCTGATTTAGCATTTAGTGACAAAACCCCCGAGAGAGGGATCTTATTATACTATCTCCCATAAATAATATCTAACTTCTCGCAAAGACCTACGTAAGATAGGTTGAGAAGGCATAAATTAATGATGATGGCATCGCGGAAAGAAAAAGCTCTTGTCGCAATTATTGAATCAATAGTTAACCGAGCTTGAAAAAAACTCTAAGCCTATCGCTCTTCCCTCTGCTAACTTTTTTATTAACTACCTTATTCATGAATCTTTTACCCTTAAACAACGGGAGAAGGTTAAAGGAAAGGAGAGGAAACGAAAGTACGTTAGCGACTTCCGTTCTATTGTAGTATTGTGGTAGTTATATAATAAGTTGAGAAAACTACACTTAACCCACCTAACTACAGGGTTTTTTGCACTTTACCCACTCAATTTTTTTTTGTGACACTTTGCCCATTAACATTCTAAAAAATTGTACTTAACCAATTTCCGGTCACCGTCCGGCCATTTCTATTGGCAAAGTGTAAATAAAAAAAAAAAGTTGATTGTGTAAAGTGTAATTTTTTAAATTACAATTAACTAGATGAATGACTGAAAAGTCAATTTTGCCCTTAGAAATTTTCGACGATGACCGAAAATTGGTTAAGTGCAATTTATTCGCAAAGTTGTATGGGCAAAGTGTCACAAAAAAAAAGTTGAGTGGGTAAAGTGCAAAAAAATCCTATAGTTAGGTGGGTTAAGTGTAGTTTTCCCAAAACTTGCAATTGAATTCATAATTTATTTTTGTACTTATATTTTGTAATGTTCTCACCCATATTTTGGTCTACATATAGTTGGATGTTTAACAAAACAGATAAACACATGACTTGTTATTAAGAATAAAACTTGGTTTTTTATTAAACATAAATAGTTAAATTTATTTTGGTATTGTAAGAAATTGCGTTTACAACTTCTAAAAAACTGAATCGATTGAGTTATTGATAAATCAAAGGATTCAAAAATAATCCTCTTGATTGAATGATTTTTTGAAGATACAATAAAAAATATTTTGGTATAGGGTTGGTTACCAGATGAATAAAAATCACCGTGATTTGTTGTTGATGTTGATAAATATGATTTTAATTTAACATTGAGATAATATCATAACAATATTTCCATAACTGATTTTCAATTTTTATTTCGTAATTATATCTGCGTTTTTATCGTAAACTATTTAATAGATGTTTTCTTGAAGACATGTTGTATAGTTGATTACCAAAAGAATAAGAGATTCAAGTGATTTGTAATTAATACAAAGATTCAGATAAATTATCACAACATAATTTTCAAAATTAACACCACTATATTTATATAGAAAGCCGTTCTATTAACTGAATTGCACAATTTACAACACATAGATATAATTAGATTTTTATTTTCTTATTTATAAATATTAAAGTAATTTTCACTATATTTCCTTTAATAGTAAGTCAACCTATTTAATTAGAAACATTTAGAGATCTAGTCTTGTAACTGACACCAAATTGAGAAATAGTCTGGTGGTTGCATTGATTTTACAAAACACCCTATATAGCTGCAAACAAAACCTGACTTGTGGTCCTTCAACTAATTTATTTGTCGTGACCCCTTAAGTTTGTAAACAAATACATTATTCATTATGGTTTTTACAATCTATACAATCGATGTTTTCGAACTCAATAACAAGGGACATTTATTACTGGTGACATATATCACTGTGGCCTAAAGAGGATTAGGTCTCTCAATATAATTTTCAAACTCTCCTAAGCTTTTCATTTTTGTTTCGGCCAGTGATCACCCTAGCTAGACACTTGCATCTAACACCAGTTTGAATTAAACTTCGCCAACCAATTTGTAGTTATGAAAGCTAAACATTCTACTTATTAAGTTCATCCCCTGATCCTTTCCAGCCTCATGGAGCAATACGCATAAGGTGTTAGAAAATAGAGTATTCTACAAGAACAACATTTACAACTGTAACTTGGAGAACTTCATTGGTTTAGGCAGTGCGCGGGAGTAAAAAGCTGAAGCCCGAGTTTTCACCCATTAGAGGCGGTGGTTCAACGTCTGAGATGTCTATCTGTTCCATTGACTTTGCTATTTCATCCACCGAGAAGGGTATGCTGTAATGAAAAAATATATATACAAGGTAAGCCAAAACAAATAAAAGAACATTTATGTATGTTTATATCAAAGGATATGCCGAATTTCATTGGGTGGGTTGGCTATTTCTAATGTTAAATAATGAGCTTGTAATTTAAGTTCTAACACTTTTCACACACACTTTCTTTAAAACTTATTCTAACTATCAAATGTTTGTTTCAAGATGAAAAAGTTGTGAGAGTTGAACCTAACCTGGAATCATCATCCAGCAGAAAGGAATTGCTTACTGCATTATTTGAATCTTCAGTCATCAACACCCGCATGTTGGATATAACCTGCATGAAAAAATAAATACAACTTCATTCATTAATGTAAACAAATATGAACTTGTATAGATCTCTCTCTCTCTCAAAAGGATTATCTTGAACTAGTTTCAGCAATGGCATCCATAGAAACTTACATCCGAAGACACACTATGTGTGCCATACTTGTCATCCCAATACATTGTACTAATTCGATACAACTGTTGAATGCTGAGGACCTATTCAACATAAACAATATTTTACAACAATGTTGATATAACTCTCCAACTGATTGCTTAATGAGACAACTCACTGGGCAAAGTTGATGACTTATTTCATCCAATGTTTTCTTTGGCTTTTGATGGATAACCTGGATAAGCAAATTTATTAGGTAACTGAAGGGTTAGACTGCTATTCAGTAGGATGAACAAAGGTCCATTTCCAAATGCATTACCAGAAACCCAATGGCTTGTCTTATATGCTTGAGCTCATCCCATGCTAAACCTGCATACTGCATATTTTCTCAAATTATTAAAATCTAACAGAGATTTGAAAAGGGAGAAGTGCATAAGCACAACTCAAAAGAACCTCTTCAGTTGCATTGCTACACCAATGTTCTAATTCAGCAAGTCCCACTTTCACATATTCCCCGTTGCTGAACGAACAACATTCTCGTCTTAATAGAAGACTACAGACATGAACAGTGCACAAATAACACATTAGGACTTGCTATACAAACTACAAGAATTTCAAATTGAAAAGAAAGCATGTTCAACCTGTTAAATAATTGAACATTGATGAAAGAAAATATCTGCATGAACACCTTGCGGACTAAGAAAGGGGGTACCTGTGAATACATAGAAATGTGTAGAATTAGAACAAAAAAAAGGACAGCTTGAAGACTATAGTCTATAGAGATGTCAATGCAACTAGAGTAAACAAATCATCATGAAAGGTAAATGAAATGCCTTCCAATCGCTATGAGATAATAATGAGAAATTAACATTGAATATAGAGACTTTGCAGCGAATAGATGATACATGTAGTAAGATGATTAAGTGAGACATTTCACTAACATGATTAGCTTTCAAAGTATCCAAGAAATTCCCTAGACTCTTCACAATTCCCTGCCAATGAGCAATCAAAGCTTGTTGGGCCCCTGTATTGGTAACAGAACGTGATGATCCCTTAACTAAGCTTGCTCTGGAAGTTCTTGGTGCCTAATGATGGATATGCACAACAAGGGCATTTGATCAGGAAAAGTTCCAGTTTACTCAAACAAAGTGGCATTTATTAAAAAAATTCACATAATCACTTTTAGTACCTGAATACACAAACCAAGCAATGGCGATATCTCCTTCTTCAAATTGTCTCTTATCATTCCATATATTTTCTCTACATATGCCGTGAGCTGCTGCTTGAACAACAACGCAGGGTATTTGGCTTCTACTTGGCGTAAAGTCTCTACTCCACCAGGCAGGCCATTCATAAAGGAAATATTTACTCCTGGTGGTACTCCTCGAAAGCTCTAGCATGCGAAGAAGAATTTTTACGGAAGGGCAAAATTCCAAGATGGAGAAGATTCACAGAATATTATAAAATAAAGTAATATAAATAAATAATAATTTTTCATTGCAAACTTTCTTCACCTGTGACATCCTTCCAAACAAAGTAGCTGAGGATGACCTACGACGTAGAGGAGTTATTGCAGCTGCACCACTTGCTTTAAGTGTACGCTGGAGGAGCAGTAGTAGGGTAGAAGCATTTGACAACCAATAAGCCAACAAATCATTATTATCTTGTATTTTCTGTATATGGAGAGAATTCAAATATTAGAGAAATTTTGAGCATATGTGAAGAACAAAACATAACAAAGTTTTAACGAGAAGTTTGAGGTTTTGTGCACGACAAACCTCGATAGCATGCCCAATACTTTGGATGATCCTGTCAAAGATAACAGTTCTTTCAACCTCAAATGATCTCCAATGCAAAAGACATTTATATATTATACAGGCTGCTATTGGTCTGTTTTCAGCAAAGCCCAAGTGCTGAGAAATACAACGAATGAGCAACTCCTGATTTTCCTGTTGTTTCTCATTAAGTGATTTTTGAGGTTTGTCATCAACTTCAGTAAATGATGGGGTATGCAGATCCTAATACAGTTTGAAAAACAAATGGGACAGTTAGATAAAATGCATTTACAAGAGGGCAATTAATTTGAGGAAAATTGATTACCACATGCATCTTAGCATCAAGAAAAGCATGCCCACTGTCACTCCTCTGCCATAGAAAAATTCATGAACTTCTATAAGATACAACTGTTTAATTTTTTCTCAGATAAGAAAAGATAGCCAAGCAAGTACCTGGATGATTGATCTTGAGCGCCCGGAAAGAAATTTATTTGGTGCTATTGATACCGCCTGTTGACGAAGAACTTTATTCTCTGATTCCAAATTATTCATCTTATCTTCTAGCCTGATGGAGACATAAAATGCTCATTTAATGCTAGATGCAATAAAGAACAATGTTCGAAGGAGACATAAGACATTGAAGTGAGCAAGTGACATCCTTTTATGACATGCACTTTAGGTTCCACTATCTTACTACCTTTACAA